GGGGAACCCTCCTACACTGTTGGTGGGAATGCAAGCTGGTGCAGCCACTCTGGAAAACAGTATGGAGGTTCCTCAAAAAGTTGAAAATAGAGCTACCATACAACACAGCAATTGCACTACTGGGTATTTACCCCAAAGATACAAATGTAGGGATCTGAAGGGGTACCTGCACCCCGATGTTTATAGCAGCAATATCCGCAATAGCCAAACTATGGAAAGAGCCAAGATGTCCATCGACAGATGAATGGATAAAGAAGATGTGGTATATATATACAATGGGATATTATGCAGCCATCAAAAGGAATGAAATCTTGCCATTTGCAATGACATGGATGGAACTAAAGGGTATTATGCTAAGCGAAATGAGTCAATCAGAGAAAGATAAGTATCATATGATCCCCCTGATATGAGGATTTTGAGAAACAAGACAGAGGATCATAGGGAAAGGGAGGGAAAAATGAAACAAGACGAAACCAGAGAGGGAGACAAACCATAAAAGACACTTAATCTCAGGAAACAAAAAGAGGGTTGCTGGAGTGGTGGGGGTGGGAAGGATGGGGTGGCTGGGTGATGGACATTGGGGAGGGTATGTGCTATGGTGAGTGCTGTGAATTGTGTAAGACTGATGAATCACAGACCTGTACCCCTGAAACTAATAATACATTATATGTTCATTAAAAATTTTAAAAAAATATATTTCAGAATAACAACAACAACAAAAAACAAAGAGATAAACACATTGGGTTGGATTCTTGCTTTTCTAGCATAAAATGCCCTTGATTATTATTGGTATGTATGCATTTCTTCAGGCTGTACGTTTAGAGACTTGGAATTCATGTGAACTGCAATGAGGAAAGAATATTCTAAACTAACAAACTCTTCTGTACATTATGCTTTATTTTAGTATTGGCGGGTTTTGATGTGTTTTGCCACAAAGATACACACATATCAAAAAATAAAAATAGGTTTTAAAGCAAGAAAACAATTCACAGAATTCAAGCAGTCATTTGAAATAACCTCGTCTTTGTGGAGAGATGTCATTGAGCCTCACGATACCTCTTTCTTCACTTAGGTTAACATGGATCTGCATCCCTTACATGCTGCCATCACTAAAACTTGGGAACTCTACAGATTTATGAACTCCTAAGAGATTACAAAGTTTCTCTACCTTGTAGGGAGGGGTAGGAAACAATGCATTTTATGGTCTCACAATATGCTTTAAGAAAAGTAATATTATCTCAGATCACTTTACAGATGATGACTGTGCTCTTTAAGTATCCTGCCTGAAATGAGATTCCTCTTTCTCAATTCCCATAACTTTTACACACAATTTTCTGACACCTGGAGAAAATTTCTAGATATCAAATTCAGATAGCCTGTCCATCAACTGGTCAAAACTGCCACCTACTGGTCAGTCTTCAAATCTATTTTTCCCTTGGCCCAAGCCTTGCTTTACCATGGTCAGATCCCTTCCTTCAAAATGGTAAAGGTCAATTACTATAACCAGACATAAAGCAATTATCCTTTTACCAACTTTCACCCTCTCTAGGGTAAACCAAAAATGCCAAATCGTACAAACCTGCCAATAAAATCATCCCTTTTCCCAGCGTCTTTGTCCCAGGCAGTGATATCAATAATCCCGCCTTTCTCTTCATAGAGATGAAAATCAAATTGTTCCCTCCACTGAGGATTCAAGGTTTTTGGCATAATCTGGAAAACAAAAAAAGTAATCGTTGTCACATAAATATCAGTCTTTAAAAAAAATTTAACTCGAGGCATTAAATCAAAATTAAGGTGCTATCTAGAAAAGCATGTGTGAGATTTGAACAAAAGCTTCCAGAAATGATGGAAATGAGTCATTAGATGTCTAGTATCTTTAATGCATATCATCTGAAGGAACCCTTGAGGATATGTCCTGAAAACCAAAGGGCACCCCTTTGTCATCTTGAATAAGAGATGAGACGTATGAATTATACAGAAAAGGCAAATAGTCTATAAGTGAAATAGCTCACTCAGATACTAGCATTTATTTTACATAACCGGTTAATGCACAAAGACACAACTCGCAGTCTGTCATCTCATAATAGAGGGAGATGTGGATTCCCAGGGTTTTTTTTCCCCCTTACTCCCCGCACACATGGGAATTCTGAGCTGAATACATGAAGAAACTCCAGACAATGAAGTTCTATGGGAGCAGGAGGAAACAGCAAGTAGCTTTGGGGTGGTCAGGCAAACATTTATGTTAGAATTAGAGCATTGATGTTTCATCTCCATTTTATATCTGGAGAAACTGAGACCTAGAGTTGAAGTTACCGACGTTTTAGTATCTAGACTTTAACTCAGGTCTTTGATTAGAGCCTCAGATCTCTTCCCCAAAACAACATGCCAAAAAATGTTTGTGAATTAATATGAGTGTGTGTGTATAATCTCTATGTTGCAAATACAAAAAAGTTATCCTATTCGAAATGCAATTTTGTAACTTTAAGTATTCAGATAAGACATCTGGTAGAATCAAGGAAATAGAGTGACCCATATTGATGTGCTTTGAAATTTCATTCACCATTGGGTTAAACAACATTCATATTTGTTTCCCTATTCTTTCTTTTTAGCAGGAGGGCATGCAGTGGCCTTTTCTCTTTTGAATGTATAAGGGACAGATCTTCAGATGTAAAGACTTCGAAAGCAATGAAGTATGTTATGGGCAAAGGTAATACAAATGAATCACAATTTTTAAAGTTCATAATCTGAAATTAATCAGCAATATATCATGAAAGAAAGAGCAAAGAGAGACACGTGTCCATAGCTGAGTTTCATATTTCATACCTAAAGAGCAGAACTATAAAAATAAGTAATGTTTTAAGTCTACCAGAACATGGAAATGATGTTAATTGATAAAGGACAAGACAGAAGTGGCTATAGGTACCTATTTTTGGAATCAGTAGTTTCTTTAAAATATATTATTAAGTCCATGGCAGAAAAAAAAAGATGGCACTAGAGGATCCTATGATAATTCAAACCTCTCATTATTGGGTTCAGATGCACTTCTATGGTATTTTGGGGAATGGTCTGTCTTCCTTATTTGGCCATTAAGAGCCTAATTTTTCAGTTTCCTTTTTAAGGGCTGTCTTCCCTATATGATTTCCTTCAGGTCAGAAGTGGTGCCTTCCCCCTCCATGTGGGCACTCAAGAAGGTAACCAATCAGCCTGTGAGCAGTTCTCACTGCCTACTAATGAATCAGCTCTGTGATATTTCTAACTACCTAGTTACTGATGAAAACTTCCTGTGCCAGAAGGAACCTAGGCAGGCTATTTATCAAAAGTTCTTGAAAATGATAATGTCAAAGTGAAGATATTCCCATCAAAGTAGAATGTGATTTTTAATACAAGACAGATATGATGAGTTGTCCCAAGCGATGAATACTAGCTGTAGAAGCTGACCATTTAAGAGGTTGTATTTGTTTTCGTTGTGGTTTTTCAGTTTTTTTAAAGTTTTTATTTATTTATTTAAGTAACCTCTACACCCAATGTGGGGCTCAAACTCATGACCCCAAGATTGAGAGTTGCATGCTCTTCCATCTGAGCCAGACAGGCCACCCAAAAAGGTTGTATTTGGATACAACACAGATAAGACATGTGCCACAAATAAACTATGACCATTATGACCTTTGCTAATTATTATTACCTCTCTCAATAATATGATACTAAGATGACTTTAATATAATATATTATTACTACTAATATAATTGTTATTACACAATATACTTATTACTGCTGCTAATCTTCTTTCTGCTACTACCATTTATTGAGTATTAATTATGGATGAGACAGTATTCCAAGCCCTTGACATGCATAACATATATTTATTCAGTCTTCTCAATAACATTATTAGGTAGGCATTATTTTTTTTATATTTTTTTAAAGATTTATTTATTTGTCAGAGAGAGCGAGCACAAACAGGGTGAGGGCAGGCAGAGGGAGAAGCAGGCTCCGCACTGAGCAGGGAGCCCGACGCGGGGCTCGATCCCAGGACCCCGGGATCATGACCTGAGCCGAAGGCAGATGCTTAACCGACTGAGCCACCCAGGCGTCCCTAGGCATTATTTTAATTCTCATTTTTACAGATGGGGAAACTGGGGCATGGAGAGTCAGAGTAACCTGCCCCATGGCACACCATTAGTATGGAGAGCAGGAATTTGGCCATTTGTTTTCTAAATAAATAAGGGAAAAAACTTGCAGTCTGCATTGGTGTAAGTCAGTTGGGATAAAATGTTTCAGAGTAATGTACAAAGACTTTTGGTATCTTTACATGGTATGTAAAATAATGCTATTTGTAGTACTGATACCAGTTAATAATTGTAATAATAATAGTAGCCAACACTCCACTCAGCATGTTATGCGTCAGTCATCAATTTAGGTTTGTTCCAGCTTTTTTTTTTTTTTTCCTTTAAAGATACGTTCAACTCCTGTGTTATAGATAAAGAAGTTGAGACAGGAAAGTAGTTCACGCAAGGTCACACGGCACATTAAGTAAGAAATGCCACAGTAGAGTTATTGGTCAGGTTTGCTGACCCGATGTTCGAAAGAAGTTCTGTTAAGCATTTAAAAAAGTATCTAGTGTTTTCATCTCCCAAAGCATGGCCATTAACCAACCACTGCCTGCCAAATACTGACAGGAACACAAAAGAGATATGGTTACCTTGCTCTTATACTTCTGATGCCCAAGCCGGAACTTCACATAGGGGTCACTCAACCCATTTGAATCCATTGCCTTGAGGTCTCGTCCCTCAATCAAAGTGATGCTGACTATTCCTCTCCAAAGCTGTGATTTTCTGTGTACGTCTGATAGACGTAAACTTTGGGTCTGAAACTTTTGGTAAAGGAAAACAGAGTTAGCCTCTTGAGTTTTAAACCAAAATACCTCATTTGGCATTACCCTTTCTCCTGTTACGATTTTTTGAAAATAAAAAAAAAAATAGGTAGTTAACAATTAAAAAAATAAACACAACTTACAGATTATTTATTAATTATAAAACCATCAATAAATGTGAAATTATCATCTCATGATAAATTTAAGGTTGCTGTTTAAAAGAGACGAATGCTCAAAATAAAGTCGTTTTCCAACTCTTAAAATCACAAGATGTGGATACTTGAAGAATACCAGAGAATATATGCCTATGTGTCAAATACGCCAGTGTCAAAATATGTAAAAAATAAATATTATAAATACCAAAGGCCTCATCCACACTGTGATATTTAATTTTTAATTAGTTATGGTTTTTGAAGATCTCTTTTTCATGTTACCAGTTGGTTTTAGTAGTGAGTTTTAGTTGTAAGGTTAGTTACGAGTTCTGTGCAGACAATTAAAAACCTTCTTCATTGCTACGTTAGGAGACAACGGAGTTCCAGTGCACTAGGGAAGGTTCTGTAGAACAGAAAACGCAATCAATATGCCCATCTGAGGTGTCTTGCTTATGCTGAAACTTGCATCACTAATTTTAAAAATTACATATGTGATTTACATTGGCGGGTATGTTTCTGAAATTACTTCTCACTCTAGTTCTTGAACATGTCCCTTCATGATTTTTATTATGCTCAATTCTAAGTCACAATATTCATTCAAGCCAGTGAACAAAGTCACAATTTTTGAAAATTAGGGAGCCTACCAGAAATGGCTGTATAATCTTTTTGAACTAAACAGCGCATACAACAAATCAAAGTAGCTAAGATGTTAAAAATCTTTTCGATTTGGATTCAGAACCAAGCGGTACTATATTGTCAAGCATGTTTTTTCACTTACAGTCATTTCATGAAGAAATTCAACATGTCTCTCCACCTCAAAGTACCCCATTTCTGAATTATAGATTAACTCTGCTTTCAGCCCAATTCCTTCAACATTAACATTATAAAGTTATAGCCTATTTTGTATAACTCCCTCTCTCACTTTGAATTCCTGCTTTTTTTCCTTACCACACTAACGCCATAGCCATTTTTATCTATCATGAAAAGTAATGCATTTCAGGTTGCTTTTATTAGGAAAATGATAACTACATTTTTCAAAAGGCAATACTTTTTATATTTGAACATTTTAATGGAAATCTTTATAAATCGCATTACCTGGTTCCCTGCCTTGGTGATCCCCAAATTTTGAACAACATTGCCTGGTGGCTCTGCCTTATTAATATCAACATAGGACTGCACCTACACACCCCATACCTCTGTGAGCTCCGAGAGCAGCGTTCAAGTGTGTTCTGGGGTGCTTTGGACTTTCACAGAGCACCTGTAACTTCCACGGGACTCCATGCCCCACTTCAGCTAGAGTCCCTCTGCTCTCATCTGTTTCACACATTGACTCTCTGCATTGGCTTTTGTTTGAACCAAGGATTTATCAGATTAAAAAGTTTATTGCACCAAGTGACCTTGAAGGGGTTCTAAGTTTTCATGCTACTTATTAATATATAATGCAGCAATAGATAACAGTGTGTTTTTATTCATTTATTTTGTTATCTTTCTATCTATCTATCTATCTATCTATCTATCTATCTATCTATCTATCTAACCACTTCTGCTGCTCTTGAGATTGCCTCTAACTACCGACTCTAGAAAAACAGATTCTAAACTTTGGGTCTGAACGTTTTGTTAAGGAATGTAAGTGGCAAAGAAGGAAGGAAAAATGAATTTTTGATAAGTAAGAAGAAATAATTATCTTAGCAAAGGCCAAGGAGTTAATAACAACCCATTTACACAGAGCTATAAAATTTCAAAGTGCATGTGTGTGCATTATATCACTTGATTCCCACTAAAACCCTCTGCAGTAGGAAGACAAGGCCTGCTATTTCCATTTTAATGATGAGGAATTTGAGGCTCAGTGTGGTTTGGGCTAATAGATGTTGGATGTTTGACTAGAACCCAGTATTTCTGACCTTTATTCCTGAGCTTCTCCCAATATTGGTCTTTGGGGTGGAGACTCTCTCCTAGGTTTAAAAGTAATCATGATTTAAGTATAATGTTCCTAATGTTTGTATGTTCCAGGGAGGTGAGTTGTTATATTTGAAATGACATTCCAGTCTAGATTTTCCTGCACAGTAATATGTGAAATCACCTTCTACTTTTCTCTTGTAGGAGCACATGCATTCATACTTACAAGACTTCAGCTTGTTGATGGATATACTTAATAACATTTTCTAGGCACTCTAGAAGTAGAAGTCTCACAGGGCACTCAGTCACATTAAACGTGGGTACAATCTAGGCTATGTGGCACCTTCAATTAGCAATGCTAAGTTAGCTTCTCGAATGGTACTGAGTCTGAAACCCTTCCTAGCTTGCCCCTCCTTTCGTTTCTTACATGAGAACAGGAACTTTACTTACAGGGTGGGAAGGAGAAAGAATGCTTTCCATGGGATCCTTTATGATTTCATAGAAATAAAATGAACTTCATGGAGCCTTTACCTACTGCCATTCATTACAAAATTCTTTTCTATAACCTGGAAGAATATTCCTAAAACGAGTTGGAAAGCCAAGGGAGAGGAAGAGGAATACTGCTTCACACAAACAGGGTTAATGAATGTGGGAATTAAGGTGAACTGCATGAAAGATTAAAAGGAAAAAGGAGAGGGGGTCCCAAAGGCATACTAACCAGATACCATTTTAAAAGGAATTTTTCCATCTTCAATATTTTTATTTGTTAAAAATGAAGCTCCATAAGGGGTGCCTGGGTGGCTCAGTCAGTTAAACGTCTGCTCAGGTCATGATCCCATTGTCCTGGTAACCAGCCTCATGTTGGGCTCCCTGCTCAGCAGGAAGCCTGCTTCTCCCTCTGCCTCTGCACCCCCCAACTTGTGCTCTCTCTCTCTCAAATAAATAAATAAATAAATAAATAATTTTTTTAAAAAAGAAGCTCCATAATTCATTTGTGATTTGATTAATGCATAGTCATGAAACGGATAAATATTTAGTCTAAGTATAAAGAATAGGAACTTGAAATAAAATTATAAGGTAAAGGGGGAAGATAGAAAGCTACACCACCAGTACGAGAAGAGACAATGACTTAACATAAGGACCCACTTGCATCTTTCTAGCAATTTCTGACTATGTGACTTAGGCATGTAGCTCCTTCTCTGGGCCTCAGTTTTCTTTTTTTTTCTTTCTTCCTTTTTAAAGATTTTATTCATTTATTTGTCAGAGAGAGAGAGAGAGAGACCACAGCAGGGGGAGCGGCAGGCAGAGGGAGAGGTTCCCCACTGAGCAAGGAGCCCAACGTAGGACTTGATCCCATGACCCTGGGATCACAACCTGAGCCAAAGGCAGATGCTTAACTGACTGAGACACCCAGGCATCACTGCGCCTCAGTTTTCTTACCTGTGGTTCTCCAGACTGTACTCCAGAGCTCCAAGTGTACTAAGAGCACTATTCTGTGTGGGGGGGAGGGGGAGGGAGTAAAGGGGGGTTAAGGGTGTCTGTGGGTAGGGGGGCCTGAATAGGAAACAGTATACCCCATAAACAGAAAAGATTTAACCTGCTTAAGATAGTCATTTATCACTTTTATTAATTTTTTAAATCAAAGTTTCGGGGAGCTCGTTGAAGGGATGGTGACAAATGGAATTCCACAACTATAAAAAAAAATGAAACTTTGAAAACCACTAGTGTTAATGCTCTTCAAGATACTTGCTGAGTCACTTGCTGCTCTATTTGAAGTTTCCTCCCTCTGTATAGCAAAGTTCTCAAAGTGTGGGCCACAGACCAATGGCATCAGTGTCACCGGGGAGTTGGCTAGAAATACAAATTCTTTAGCCGCACCCCAGACCAACAGAATCAGAAGCTCTGGTTTACTCAGCCCTCACTCAAGGTCATTCTGATGCATGTTCAAGGGTGCGAACCCCTGCTTTAAAAGTTCTAAGGGTCATAGGCATTGGCCTTCTCCTATGTTCTAATTACTATTATTAATTACTATAATTGTGAATATTATCCATTCTCTTGCATGGATACCATATATGCTAATTAAAGTCTTTCGGTTCTGTTTCTAAATTTACCGATTAGGATAGCAGGTTGGTCTGGATATTTGGAGAATTTCAAGAGAGAAGCAGGAGCCTGCTGCCAAGTTGTGTTAAGTTCATTTATTATTTCCTTCCTTTAGCGTTTTTTTTTTTCCTCATAGAATGTACTTAAATAACATATATTAATTGACGTATTGATAATTAGTCAATCAAAAACTGCTTATTGAGCACCTAAATGGAAAGAGTGTTAGATCCAAGATATCTCTCAATAAAATTAACATATTAGAGCTGGGATTTAGTTATCTGAGATGTTTTCAATTATGTCCTTGTTGAAAGAGAATTCTGTTTGAGGAAAGAAATAGGAAGGAAGAAGAAAAATGAAAAACAACCTAGCTTCGAAGTGAAGAACCAACACTGCAAAAGGAGGAAATAACCTTTGAACTTTTAAAGGACTAATTCCCAAATTTTAGCAGGCAGTTTGTTGAGATCAATGGGCCTGACCGTCCTGGATGTGATTCGGTTCTCGTGCAGCGGAGCTACTTGTGTATTTCCAACGTGCGCCCCACGTGATCCTCATGCACACTGAAGTCTGAGATCATTCTCCTAAGGAACATTCATTCATCCAAGTTCAAACTTAATCAAGACTATCAAGACACTAGGTATCAATACCAATTTGAAATTCTGAGGCAGTTAGTCAATGACCTGTATCGTTAGTAAGATTTTAGAATGGGTGAGATGGCATCTTAAGGAGAATATTAGTTTATGCATATTATTCCTTGACAAGGAATTCAAGATTCAATTCCTCTTCATATGCATAAAAGAAGTTAGAATAGGGAATAGGTTTTCAAAACAGTAAATTAGCCATGAGAATTCACAGCCCATGCAAGCTCAGAAGGAATAAACAAACTGAACAATCGAACTTACTTGTGCATTTTGGTCATAAGTACTCTGAAGCTCTGCTCTGCAGAAGCCCAGGACAGGAAGAGCAGGCCTGCCGCACGTCTGGATGGAGATGAATGATCAGAGCTGTACAGGAAAGCTTTGGAGGCACTATCAACACCTCATTTCAATCAGTGTTTAGCATTACTCTTCAAAAACACATTATTTGAAAAAAAAAAAAAAAGTATCGGCTCCCCAAGTCACTGTCAGAAAATGTCTTCTAGCACAATGAAGATAAATGCCAGTGCAATAATATAATTTCCGGCCACCATTTTCTTTAGCAGCATAATACCACAGTGGTCAAAAAAAAAAAGGACAGAGATTAAACAGTGATGGACCGCTGCTGGAGTGTTTCAGGTTTTCATTCATTGGCATGGTAGTGAAAAGAAACATAGGAAGAGAAATCATGCAAAGAATCATTTCCCCAAGACTCTGCTTCAGAATATTTAGGACACTGTTTCCAATGTCAAAAAAGTGATAAGGCCCCAGAATAATACATGTTACATGGATAGGCAACAACTATGATCACCTTAACTGCATCCCACATGCGAATCTTTTGTAATGATTAAAGAGATATCTCTAAAGAACAGAGAAATTTTGCCCCATGTGATCTACCCCATTTTCTCTTTGTTGCCCTTGTGCCTAAGAAAGCAACAAAAAAGTCCCTTTGTTGCTAAGACCAAGAGCAGCAAGAGATGGATTCAGAAAGATGCAGCTGAACAAGAAATACTGGAAGGAAATTATCATGATAAGCCAAGAGTTTGTATCAAATGACTAGAGCATCTAGACAATTTCCAAACAATAAAATTATCATGAGATGAGAACATCAACAGGGAGGGTTAGATTCAGCCAATCTGAAAGATAGGTTAGATCATACACTAAGAAATGAGCATGTATTGAGCAACTTTTAAGTGCTAGGGTTTTCATACTCCAGTGTTTTTCATAACAGGCATTTTTAAGGTAAAGAAACTGAGGCACAGAGATGATAAATACCCTACTCAAAGCCAAATGGTTAGTGATTGGCAAGGCTGAGATTTGAATCTGTGGTTGCTGATACCTAATTGATCATTTTCCCCAGTATATCTCATGTTTAGAACAAAGCCTAAGAGGTTCATAATACAAAAACAAAAAGGGAAATAACGTGTACAGGATTTGTTGAAATACTTTTACTCCTGTTTAGATAAAATATATCCACGGGTATCAGTTATTGAGGAAGTCTAATCAGGGGCTTAGAGGAAGCAAAAGTTGGCAGGTGATAATAACTCTAGCATATATTGTTCAGTAAAGCATAGGAGAGTTAACTGTGCTCCATCATGAATTATCGCCTAGCATCTATTAATAAGGTGGTGAAGTTATAGAATTTCATAAGTAAATTGAGAACACTTCTATATTTCAATTCTGGTTATTAAAGCTTATTAATTCAATTCCTTGAAAACACAGATCACTAATAGAAGGAAGTATCCTATTATTCTAGATCCTGATTAAAAAACAGATCAAAACCAAACCAATCTATCTAGATTTACCATGTGGCTAAAAACTACTCAGTCATATTAATCTTCTCCCTGATATGTGCAAATAATCCTTGGCTTTTGTTATCTTGGATTTTATTACCTGTATACAACCTAATCCTTCCAAATGAGACCCAGACCCTGTGAAACTGGAGTGAAAGACATCAGTGTGTCTTTACAATAGCTGTGTGTGGAGTCAGCTCACCTCTATTTTCAGCACAGAGGTGCACATGCTTTTATTTAATCAAATGATCCACGAGACACTACAAAGAAGGGATAATGACAGCCTAGAATGGCTGTTTTGTGCTGCAAAGCCTGGAGTGTGGAGCAATTATTAGCTCAATCCCAGGCACAGGCATGGTCTATCTTTTCCTTTGCCTGCCGGGTTTATTCTAGTGAATTGCTCCTTGGTGATGAAGTCCAACAAGTAGATTTGTTCTACAGTCCATCCACCCTCTCAAAGCAGGATTGCCTTTACAGAAAACCTTTCCAGGGCTTTGTCCAGCCTAGTTTAAAGTGCCTCATGTAATAATAAGGCTTCGATCCCTTTTTTCATAGAAGATGATTCACAGCACTATAATCTTTAGAGAAACTCTCCTGGTTTTTATCCTTAAACTTTCTTTCTTATTTCTGTTGCTTCTTGAAACAACTTAAGGTGTCAGGAAGCTATTTATGTTTACTTCAGATGCTTTAACTACCATCTCTAAACTTAACTGTGGCCAACAAAAGTTCTTAAGCTTTTACAGTGTTTGATCAAGTTATATAGTAATAGAAAATCATCATATATGTTGTAATCTTATTGGTTTGCTCAAGTAATGTATTGGTTTCCACCAATGATGTAAAGAAATAACGAGTCCTGGGTTTGACTTACACTTTTTCTTTTGAGACTTTTAATTAAATGTTACAAATACATTGTTTTCTGAGGGTCTTACTTTCCTACCTAAAGGCATAAATAATACCTCCACTTTTCTTGGGTGTATGTCATACATGGTTGAGTTGTTCAGAACATAAGCACTTCAGCACAGGATAATATTCTTGTTTGATAGAACCAATACTTCTCCTTGGTCTGCAGGGTCTTCCTTCAACCACACTTTGATTTGACCCTACCCTAAGATGGTGCTTTGACATAATTCCTAACCGTTCTGTATTCTGTGCACTCTCTTGGGCCCATTTCATATTATGATCCATTTCTCCATTTCTATATGTGGTATCCTGGTATAGCCTACCCTTCTCCTTTTAAACAATCTTTTCTCTTTAATTCACTATAGTGTTCTCATAACATGGTTTGTTCAATTAACTCTCAGTCTTGAAAATCTAAATGTCTGGTCAATGGAGTTAACTGGGAAAAACTTAAATGTACTAAATATTTGAAGCAATTGCACTGTTATTATTCTTAATGGGAAGTTAAAAATCTTCAATGAATTCTGACTTAGGGTAATTCAAGTGGCTTCACATAATGTTTGTTGCCTTCATGAGAAACGTGGTTAATTGCCATACCCACTGCTTAATGTTTTGTGTCCTAAGATGTCATGTTTTGATGAATTATAAATGTCATACCTTTGGAAAATTAGAATATCTCTGTATCACTTCAGTCTTTTCTATTATTTTGCTCTCAAGAAAAGTAAGATCTACCAAGTAGCCTTGACATTTATTAAGCAAGTTCTCACCAGGATTCAGTTTCACTTGGTGTAATTCAGTTGCTCTCTCCAGGACACATGTATTGATCCTTACAAATAAGCTGATAAAAACTCACAAAGCACACACATGCTCCTCATGTAAGATTTTATCTGAGCTATTTAGGTTTTCTGCATATCTAAAAATGTCTACGAAAACCTCCCTTCATCCACATCTCCTCTAAACGTTAATCACAGTATAAATATTACCTGGGCAAAGAGCAATGAGGTCAGTTATGAGAGGACCTTTGAATGTGAATATGAAGGATCATACTCATCCAAAGTAGACTGGATCATGGGTTTTCAGATTCTGTAAGATGGGACCTCAAACATAGCAACACCACAGCCCTTAAACACATCCATCTATCAGTGGGTTAAGGAGCTGTGGGGGAGAAGTGTTACATAATGCAAGAAGAATCTGAAAGGGGGTCAGTGAAGACAAACTAAGGGAAGGACTCTATTTCTACATCACATCTGTATTCATCATTGACCTGCAAGGAACTCAGTTGCTTTAAACAATTATATCTATGATATTCATAGAAAGAAAAATATTGTTCCTGATCTGTCATCCCATTTTTAGGTACATAAGGTCAATGGCATCCCTTCTCTGGGCCTTAGTTTCCTCAGTGATAAAATAAATGAGCCCTAAATGTTCTGCCTTTATGACTCACTTTGTTAGTTACTCAATAAATGCTCAGAAGACTCAACAAATGCTTAGACCACTGTACCTCAAATACAAAAAAGTTATATTTTAAATTTTTGTATTTCTTATTCTAAAATGAGACAGCAAGAGATTGAGAAAGGTTAGTACAGAATATTTAAGGATTAAAAAAAGAATATTTAAAGATGAACACAACCAAATGGAAAGTCCTGGTACATGGAATACTAATTTGGAAGTAGCAAAGTGGAAAGATGTTGAAAGAATCATTGGAAGGGAAACCCTTAAAAATGATTACTTATGCAATTGATCCTTGTAGCAAGGCTTCATTCATATGATCAGTTTGCACGTTGCCTGCATATAGAACAGATTCAACACAGAATACTCCTGAATTCTGCTCTCTTGGCAAAGAAGTATACTGTATGAATTTACCATACTTGTGAGTCTCAAGAAAAGAGAGACTAAATTTTTGCCAAAAGCCAAACTCCATTTAAGATAATGTGACAATTCAACAGCAGTCGCTCTGTGTTTTCATGGATAATGCATGAACATATCAAAGAAATTATTATTATTTTAGCAAAGACACAGAATAACATCAGTGAAGGCAGTCATCAGTAGACTGAAAGGAAATGAAGATTCTATAATAATTAAAATAAGCTCCCATTAATAAAAGCCCACCAAAAAAAAAAAAAATGTGCGTGGAGGGAGCATAGCTATGATGAAGAGAGGTGGTTTATACTGGCTCGATGCATGACTTAATCTAGTGCCGGCCAGTCTGCTTAAAAGACACTAAAACAAATCTTAAATTTCTAAAGAGCAAAGGTAGTTTTCAGTCATGAGCAGTTTTAGAGCCGAGGAAAGAAAATGGCAAGGCCTGACAAGTATAGCATTTTCTCTGCAATATCTATTGCTAGGTAATCATGTACCAAATGTGAATTTTCAAAGAAAGAAGGAAACTCTCAGCAAACTAGTAAGTGCATTTGTAATAAATCGTGCTGTGCATAATGCAGAACTAGAGCAGAGCAAAAAGGATGACAGAGCTCGCTGTGTGTAAGTCATGAAAGAGTAAATAACATTAAATTGCAATGGCATTTAAAACAAATTCTCTGTAGAATTTTCACTTTTTTCTTTATTTAAATCAAAAGCAGAGTTGCTGTTTTCTAATTCATAAGTTTTTTTTTCCAAAGAAAGAACACTGATTATCTAGTATGTATATAGTGTAAGATCACTGTAATGGAAGTAAATTTTTCTCAAACAGATGGAGCAGATTTTACAAGAAAGGAAAAAAAGAAACTGAATGGACCCTCTAGACAGCACCGTCGTCTTCCTGGAAGGGCTGTGGGCCTCTAGCTGGCAAGAATTTGGGATAAACTTGGTCCCAGAAGGAACTGACTTCAAAAAAATATATTCGGTATATGAAGTTCTTAGTTTATACAAATGAAGAAATGAAAGAGTCACCCAAATGGCTTGGAATAAAAGTTAATAAAAAAGGCCAATTGAATACATTTTTCTGAGAGCCTATTTCAAAAAGTGAATTTCCTATTCCATATTTAACTTTCAAAATTACTATTCAAAACCAAAATCAAGAATATTAATATAAAGGATTTAGACATTACCCTCCAAAAGAAAGACTTCACAGAGAAATAAGATCCAACCACTTCATTTTCTGAGAGATCCTAAAAACAAACAAATATTTAGCTACATTTTGAAGTGTTTTTGAGAATACTTAATTAGCCCAACAAAATCAAAATGAACAAGCCAAAATTATATATCCTAATGACCCTTCCAATGTTTATAAACTTAAGTTTTCTTCCCTTGAATAATTAAAGTTTTTTGTCTTATTCCTATCCGGTATCAATGGTAGTAAGTTTAAAAAGGATTCTTTCTGTCATTTTTAAGAATCTACTTACCTCTTTATTCTTAAATCATTGATTATTACATCTCAGAGTCTAACACTTTATTTTAGAAAGTACAACTGTTCAAACTGTAAGATTCTGAAGGAAGTCAGAAAATATTTTCCTTTTAACAAAACAAGTTAACACCATAGACCTTCAGAGCATTTTTAAAGAATGACAATAGAAATCTTATTTATAAACACACACCTAGTCAAATTTGGTTTAATGCCTTATTAAAAACTTCCTAGTTTTATGATATAATATAGAATATAGATAATGTAAGTTAACTTGAGCTCCACAAAAATAATTTTGACAAGAAATGAATACTGAGCAGGGTGGCAACCGGGCTGAAAACAAAGTCACAGATTCATGTTGGATATTTTATTACTAATCCTCAGACTTTCATAAAGTGAAACCAATTCAACTTTAGGAAATCAAAACCATAGTTGCTCACTTTTAAAGAGAACATTTGAATTACATGCATCCTTTACACTTGAATGTTTTGCATCCTGTCTCTGGGTGTCAGTTATGGTAAAATTATGGGAAACTGGGGACACTTACAGGGCAGTATTGACCATGGACACTGTGATGGAGAAGATGAAGTTTTGTAACTTATTTGATTACTCCGTGATTTGGCGTTAGCAGCTAAGATAGTAGTCCAGCACCTCACATGATGCCTATTGCATAGTAGGTGCTCAATAAATAATTTGTTGATTGTTAGTCACTTGGAGTTTCATTTGGTTAGGTATAGATATTCCTTCCAAACATGACACCAAAAATCATATCAGAAAATAATAGTGAACTAAAATATTTAGGGTGGGCAGCAAGTTGAATAACTTAAATTTAGAACTAGAATTACATCAGAGATCATCTATACAATCTACCTGTTTTTTTTGTTTTGTTTTGTTTTGTTTAACATGAAACCTATTTCTCAACAAGATTAAGATCACTTTCCCAAGTTCCCTGCATAGGGTTTGGTCAGACAGCATGGCTAATGTCAGAGGTGACTGGGGAAAAGTCCGGAGTTTAAGACATCGCTTTATCGGCACTACAAAGCTATAATTCATTTACATTTACAGCTATGATTCTCATCTGTCACACTTAGCACACTGTCATATCAGTACCTCAAAAAAAAAAAAAAGAAGAAAGAAAGAAAAAACACCAAGTCTCTTAAGAAACATATTTACATTTGGACATTGGGGCATGAACCTTAGATGGAATGACTGCAGTCTTTTTCGATGCTGTACATTGTTTAATGTAAAAAATCTCATTCTAGCTTTTACAAAAGATGCGTGTTTTTCCTTTTGTATTACCCATTCTCTCCTAACTTTGATTTCCAACTCTTTTGTAATTAAGCAGCATGTTTAACAACACGTGGAAAAAATTTTAAAGTATCATATTAAAGACACGGAAGTCTTGGAGTCTCCTTACACAAATAATTTCCCCAGAGCCAATAACACAAGTTATGCAACTAAGAGTGAGTTTTATCTTAATGTAAAATGTACTAAGGCAACTTAAATGGATGTGAAAGTATTGGCTTTAGACTCAAGGCAGTTATAACAAATAATATGACCATTAAACATTTAAAAGTCTTGTTAATTCATTTAAAGTTTAGGTGGTCTAAAGTGACTAATACTGAAAATGTACCAACTCCATACTTCCCATTGCTTCCTCAGATGAATACAGAGGTTAATGATCTAATTATGTGACTAGTATGCAAAGAGCAAGATGAGACTGATGAAATTTGTGTGTGTGGGGGGAGTTTTAATGATCAAAATTTAGAATGTAGGTTTCTCTGTTAAAATTTGAGAAACAAAAATATTAGCCACATTTGGATCCACCGAGGCCCCTAGGCTGTGCTTTTCATGCCATGTTTAATAACTTCTGTCATTATTCATCAACTAAAATTTATATTTCATTTTACAACCTACATTCTCATGTAAATTTAGGCCTTTATTTCAAATGGAACAACTTAATTTTCCTGTGGACCCTTATGCCATTTATTGCCTTGATGAATATAAAATCCACAGCAGATGAGGCAAGGCTTTTCTTTCATGAGAATTTCTAATAATAACAACAATAATAAGACACCTGGCATTATGATAAAGAGTTCTAAAAAAAAAAGGTGATTTTATCAGGAGGGCAAGAAAAACCAAATGAACTGTTTGTGAATTTCAGAGAAGACTGGTCTTCAATCATGGTTGTAGATATTTAGTTATACTTCAGTCTCCATTGAGACAAGAGGTTGATAAGGGAAGGAAAGTACCATTTTAAAAGTGCTAAAATTATAAAGGAAGAGCAAAAGGAAGCAAAACACAAAAACAGAGGCATCAAATTAATAGAGGAAAATTACTGACGTTATCCTGAATAATGAATTGCTGACTATTTCTGCTGAGGCTTTGAATTTATGAAAGTAGCAAGATCCATGGATAAAATCTTATTTAAATCTACTTTTTGCCTCTAAAACACCAATATACACTAAGAACATTTATCCTCAAAGATCAAAAATCCTACTATGAATCTAAAAAGTAACAAGATTTTAAATTTAAAAATCCAAAAGATATACTTTTTTCCCAGAGAAATAAAACTAAAGGACAGTTAATTTCTTTCCTAACAAAATGAATATGTTGCTGTTTTTTAGCCTCCTATTTAAATAAATCATAAAAACCTTTAAGGACTTTGTCATCAGATGAATAAGGATTAGCCACTAAACTTCAATTAATAGTGATATTTTTTATTGGTCTTAATGTGTACAGGCCTTTAAACACTTTGCATGTTTATTATAACTCAGCAATTCCTCAATACTCAAACACTCACCACAGATTTGAAGCCTGAGATTCAAATGTGAAGGTCAAGTCAGGTAGCACTCACACTACACAGCATATTTTAATAGGTGCACAATTTCCTTGTTTCAATAACTCTTCGGGCATTTACAAGGTTAAAAATAAATAAATCCATAAGTAAATAATTTTCGTAGGCTTTCCTGGTCTGACTGCAATCACTGTTTATCAAAGCTACGGCTCTTAGATGCTCCCACTAAGTTGGATATGCCTACTGATCGTTATGTAACTGAAAACAGGGGCATGAAGTAGAAATGGCGCTGAAATGCTATTTTCCTGTTTTCTTGGTTACTCAGATTGGCATTCATATCATTTATACTCATTAAACACAAACATGCAACTCCAACTGTCCACCTAAATATTTCCGACGAGAGACAGACCATCTCAGCTCCCCAGGGGACATGCCCCGTAACTGAAGGCTGGCCTTGCTTTGTCTTTCATTTTCCTAGAAATTTTAACTTAAATCTTTTATTTGTGTGTTTACATGTGTGTGTGTATACTGCTGTCACCCAGGGCTTCAAAAGCAGAATCTTCACAAAATGATTTATTTTCACTGTAGATATTTAGGGGACTTTAAAACCAATAAATCTCCTCTCAGTCACATTCAATTAAATATATATATATATGTATATATATATACACCACATATATACATATATATGTGAGATATATCTGATGTATATTATATATATACAAATATATATCTTTGAATTAGGAGGCAATAGGATCTTTTTTTTTTTTTTAAGATTTTTTTTATTTATTTGAGACAGAGAGAATGAGAGACAGAGAGCATGAGAGGGAGGAGGGTCAGAGGGAGAAGCAGA